ATCAATAAACTACAGAAGAACACATAATTGCTCGCTAGATTTAAGTATTGAATTAATGATTAAGCTTTTTAAAAGTTCAACGATAATTCTTCTGCTGACACTTAATGTAAAGACGATTTGATGTACGTAGATCTTTATTTTCCATACAAACAATTAAAGACAAAGAAAATAGAAAATATAATTAATTATACATTCAAGATTTGAAGAGTTAGAGAAAAATAAAAGCTCATTAAATAAAACTTATATTATGAAACCTGTATGAACAAATGCGAAAGTGTGGCTCAAATCTCCCACGAATTCTGAGATTAAAAAAGTCTTTGCTCTGCTTTATAGCAATTTAAATACTAAAATCTCAATATCTGTATTATATATGATCTACTTCTAAGAAATATCACTCTTCAGTTTTAACTAATTTTCATATTGATTTTTAAAATGTTTATTTCATTAATTGTCCTTCATTACTGTTCTTCTATTCGAGAACTAATTTTGATATCAAAAATAGTTCTGTTTAGAAATATCATCTGATATAGTGCAGAAAAGTGTTTGAAAATTAGTGACGAGATTTCCTGAATCAGCATCTTGCGGTAGAGAACTTAATTTCGCTGTATGCCATAGAGATATTTTAATCAACCATTTTTTCTATATATTCAATAAAGCTGCTCTTAAAGTGATCAACTGCGATGTGCCTTTTATTGAAGAAGTTCTTATTGCAGCCTTGTTCCGAACACCACGTGGACGCTAAGAGACAAAAGTTACCACGGCCAAAGACAGAAATTACGTAATTTTATCTATGGTACACAACGTAGTCAAAGGTATCCACATGAGACTTCGCCGTCCAACATCAATATAGTAAAATATTGAGAAACTCGAATCAACACTCTCGAGACGAGACACCGACCCCAAACGAGGATGGAAAAGAATGCAGGTTGACCTGTAAGTTTGGTATTATTCAACATAGCGTAGCTAGCGACAGAGAGGAAGAAGAGCAGAAGACAGTGTGCATTTGCGTGTGTGCTGCTAGGGGTGAATTATAGACACCCGACTTTCATTGGGTAAGATCATTATGATCTACGAAGCATCATCTCGGAAGTACGGTCCATAATGCAGAAGTTCTTGGAAAGACCCTGTCAAATGGGAACATCCTCCTAAACAATGGAATATAAAGTTAATGAGGATGAATTGATTCAGGGAATTGAGTTTGAAGAGACGTCCGATGTGTTCTTCCTTTTGTTTGTTTGGTTCATTCATTTCTGGCACTTTAATTTGAATTCCCATTAAGTGAATTCCCATTAATTGTCTTTAAAATTGAATTCCCATTAATTGAATTCTCATTCATTGCCTTCTCTAAAATTTGAATTCCCATTAAGTGAATTCCCATTAATTGTCTTTAAAATTTGAATTCCCATTAATTGAATTCTCATTCATTGCCTTCTCTAAAATTTGAATTCCCATTAAGTGAATTCCCATTAATTGTCTTTAAAATTTGAATTCCCATTAACTGAATTCCCATTAATTGCCTTTAAAATTTGAATTCCCATTAACTGAATTCTCATTCATTGCCTTCTCTAAAATTTGAATTCCCATTAAGTGAATTCCTATTAATTGCCTTCAGTAAACTTTCAATTCCCATCAATTGAATTCACAGTCATTGCCTTCTCTAAAATTTGAATTCCCATTAATTAAATTCCCATTAATTGCCTTTTGTAAAATTTGAATTCCCATTAATTTAATTACCATTAATTGCTTCAGTAAAATTTGAATAGCCATTAATTGAATTCCCATTCATTGCCTTCTCTATTATTTGAATTCTTATTAATTAGGATGAGTAGATAGCCCAATATGCGTGCCAAAATGTGGAGCTGTTAGCTTGGTTGTGCGGGTGGTGTAATGGATAATGAGTAGGACTTGTTAATCGGAGATTACCAATCCCATTCTGATTCCTTATATTAACTTACGTGCAAATACAGTTGTGAAAGATATTAATCCATATCTTCTCCCCCAGCTATGGGTTAATTAATAATCACTAAAACCATATTTATATAAAAAGAAATCATGAATCAGGAAGAGAGTTCTACAAATGTCAGGTGCGAGAGAAGAGGCTGTTAGCATCTAATCAATTCGTCAGTAAATTGATGACACCTTGTTGCCAAACTAGTACTGCACTCAAAATTCATAAAGTCTGGGTAACATAGCAGGAATTTAATCCGAACAGTTACCTTAAAGTTATTTATAGAAATCTGTTTGATCAAAATTTGAAGACAGCATTGAAGCTGAATTTTTTCATACAAACAAGACAAATTAAATGGTATATAGTTCGTAAGACTATACGGTTGCCTTCGATTTTTTTTTCACATGCATCCCGTCTCCTGCTCCCTCTTAAAACCTTGAAGAAAATTATTATAAACTGGTATTAAATTAAAGAAAGTGATAAAGTTATATTAATACTAGAATATGATTAAATAGATCATGGCGAGAAAATATCCGTAGACGCGTGTAATTAGAAATGTAAAATATTCATATAGAAATATACATTAGAGATTAGCAGAAAGACTTCGAAATATTCAACAAGCTATAAATGAGATAACAAAATAAAACCCTAGGTTCTTTTCAATGATTTATGTATGTTTTTTTTAAATAAATACATTTGCTCATGCGATGTCGATATTTCATCAGTTGTTATTTTATCAGCACGGAGGGTTTCCGGCCACATCATTTTGAAATACTACTTCACGAACTATCACCGAAATTAAACAAGCCAGATACACTGTCAGTACCGAGATAGGTAACTATTTGGGAATACCAAGTCCTGTAAGTTTGGATGTACAAGTGATGTGGCTTACCGCCATATGGCATTGAAACACCGGCACTCATACGTTAACTTCAAAGTTAAGCAATATCGGGACTCGTCAGTAGCAAGGTTGGTGACCGCAAGTTTGGTGATGCTGTAAGCTTCGTTGTTAGAATGATGTGGCTTGCCGCCATATCACATTAAATCACCGACTCTCTTACTACTACGAAGTTAAGCTATGCCGAAACTGGTCATTATCTAGATGGGTGACCAATTTGGAATGGAATGGCAGGTGGTGAAAGCTTGGATGTTCGTGCGGTATGACTGTCATATCAAGTTGAAACACCGGTTTTCGTAGGACCACCGAAATTAAGTAACGTAATATAATGTCGTATCAGACCTGCTTTAAGGGAGTGAATGCTGAACAATCTCCTCACAGATGAAGAAGTGACTTCGAGCAACAGAAATAAGGTCAAGGAAAGAAATCTAAGAATACCATTGGCTAAGCATTTGAACAACGATTGAGTTTTAGAGAAAATGGAAACAAAATGGAAACTTAAACGTAAAATCAGGCAGTACGAGTTGAAATTTTTGGGGCACTTAATTAGGAAAGGCATCTTGAAGAATTTGATAGACACAGATATGGAAAAAAATGAATAACCTACCGAACAAGCTTGACTAAATCGATGGCGGAGCAAGTTTTAAATAAGATAAGACAAAATTTAATAAGATCCACAAAGGACAGGAAATTGTGTAGACCCATGATCGCAAATTTCTTGAAGGGACACGGCATATATAGAAAAAGATATATGCATTTAACATCCATGTTGATAAAAATGTCTTGCTTTCGCCATTAACGAATATGTCATAAACCCCTCCTTCCTCATTACGTGCCCTAGATATTTCCACTGCATCTTCTTGATGTTAAACATAAGTTTATTTTTTTTTGTTTCTATTCTCTTTAAAACCTCGTTGTTGCTCACATTTTCGCTTCATGGTATCTTCAGCATCTTTTTATTACAACGTGTTGACCTACCTTGAAACGATTGCCTTAACCAAAACCTCTTGCTGATATCATTTTATGTGACCAGAATTTATTTTGTTAGGCAAACGTTACATCAGCACTTGTATTTTACAGATTCTTTTCGGCAGTTTATTTTATATCCCATTCTAGATTTTCCCATATCGGCAAATAACTTGAGTATTCTTCTAACCGGATCGTTGCTATTCTTTTTATTGTTAACTCTGTACAAATGGATGGAATTTTATCCTCTCCGTCGCGCGATCAAAATCCGACTTTTCCATCTCTTCTTCCATTTTGCATGCAAATCTATGTCCTCCACGTTCATAATAATTTCTTCTCATTTTCCACTCGCTTTTGGGCGTTATCTCATGTGTTATAAAGTTAAGCATTGCCGAGCCCGATCAGTGCCGAGATGGGTGATCACATCTGAATACCACGTGCTGTAGGATCAGATATACGGGTAGAGTAGCTTACGAGCATATCGCGTTAGTAATCCGGTTCACGTACGATGATCGAAGTTAAGCAATGTCGAGCCTTGTTAGTAACTAGATGCGTGACCGCTTTAGAATACCATGTACACTAAGTATGGAGATGGAGGTGGTATTGTATATGACGATATCACGTGTAAACACCGCTTCTTGTACGAACAATTAAGTTCTGCAACGTCGAGCTAGGTCAGTAGGTAAATGGGTGCACTCATGTGAATATCACATGCTGTAAGCTTGGATAGACGACTGGTGTGGCTTACGGCCATGTCGCGTTGAAACACAGGTTCCCGTACTAGTGAGCTAGCCCAAATGACTTGACTCACTTTATAGTCCACCAATAGAAGGTTAACCAATCAGAAGACGTAGAATATTCAATCCGTCGTGTATAAAGGCGGCCATTTTGTTTACTCTCTCCGAATGTCCAGTGCCAACTTGTCAGGCGAAGAGATAACAGAAGTAAGAACTACTGAACTACGGTCTGCTACTTTACCGAGATATCCACTGGTAACCTGAACTACGCTTCCCTACTGTTTTCGAAATATTCACTGCTAACCTCTGGATTCTATACTCAAAGACGACCGTCATCATGAACAACACACCGAAGTTAAGCAACGTTGTGTTTTGTCAGTACTTAGACGGGTGATCGCACGTGAATACGAGAGTCTGTAAGCTTGGATATACGACTGCTACGGCTTACAGACATATCTCGTTGAAACACCGGTTCCCTTCCGATCACCGAAGTTAAGCAACCTCGAACCTGGTCAGTACCTAGATGAGTAACAACCTGGGTATAGCAGGTGTTGCAAACATAGATGTGAAGTTGTTTTACGGCGATATCACGTAAAAAGAATGGTTCTCGTACGATCACTGAAGTCAAGCAACTTCAAGCCTGGTCAGTACCTAGATAGTTAACCGCTTCGGAATACAAGATGCTGTAAGCTTGGATGTACGGCGGGTGTAAGGTAATAGGAGGTCTGAGTTCCAATTCTAATTCCTTATATTACTCGCAAAAGCTACTGTAAAGTGTATGAATCCTCATCTCCCCTCTACAGCTATGGTTTAATTATTTAAAAAAATGTTACAATCATTATTATTCTGCCTTTAAATAACCTGTAAAAGATAACCAATAACATGCAAATCAATCAATTATATGTTACTCTTATGACTATAGTAAATGTGTACTCTTTCAGTTTCACGGTGATTCTGCCCGATGGTTACCAGTATCCCAGAACACATTTCATCTTCTTTTTATCTAATATTAGTCATACTCCTCTTTCATTTTTTGTCTCCCTTTACATATATGATCCTGATCAGATTTTGATACTGTTGTGTATGATACACCTAATTTACATAAGCGGACTACCGACCATATAAATATGGGTTGGTACCGGAAGACGGGGAAGATAGTAGAGATTAAGAAATTGAATCCAGAGACTCTGCCCGACTGCGATTTAGTCAACCCATTATGCAGGAACAGTCTTCCCAAGAATATACCAAACTAACTGTAAATATTGTGTACCTATTCTTTGTTTCAATACATTTTGTTAACGTACATTTTGTGTTGTATTATTCCATGCTTATTTAAGCTTCAACAGATACCTAATTGTACATACAACTATTTTCAAATAGTCCCTAAATATTGATACATGGTATTTCTACCCCCTGTTTTACTTTTTTCGAATTTTCCACACTGGTACTGATTCCTAACACTGCAATTTTTAATTTTATGTACATAGTTAAATTTCTGCACCTGTCTGACTTTGAGATCCCAATCTGTAGTTCATACTTTGAATTCCCTTTATGCTGAAAAGCAAATAATTATTCTCGAATACGTTTCTCCCACTGGAAATGAATCCTCATCATCCCTTTCTCAAGGCATGGCTCTCATAAGGAAGATGGGCTGTCAACGTATTATTTACTATCATGATATTCGCATTAATGATGTAAGAAAAAAAAAAACATTTAAAAAGTTATAATTAAACTTTCGAAATTCAGAAAAATCCTTTTCTAAGTTTGTGCTAAAATATTATCGCATAAAACTAAATCATTTAATAGATATCTGCAAATCATGTACTTTTTTATGCATTAAAATTTATCGCACTTATTTTTAAAAGATGTTGACATTAAAATTACATTATTTACACTACATTTATCGGACTATTGCCTTCATCGTCGTGAATATATTCACGACGTTTCGGCGGTTGTACACTCCAGCCTTCTTCAGGTGAATGGAATTTCGAAATGAACGCTGGGATAGATTATTATCGCTGTACATTCCACGCCTCTTCCGGATCTCTCAGTATCAATTATCTCCCTTTATCTCAACTCTCCAAGTTTTTTGTTCTCGTCAGCTGAATATGTCAAAGAAGATGAGAGCAACAGTCCGAACAATGTAAATAGTGTAAATAATTACAATACCTAATCTCAGAACTATAGACAGACTTCGTGTAGCAAAACAAAATGATCAAACCGTTGAGATTTCGATGAAGTGAATTCGTTATTTTCCTTTCATATCATACCAAATCGGATAACATCTTAATGATGTTATAAAAAATATATATACTTTCAGATATATGAAAACTCAATCAGAAAGAAAAAGGATGAACATAGTTAAATGTATAACAAGAACACCCAAGATTGTTTTCAACATTTATGAACCTTTTGAGACGAAGTTACATTGGCATAGGGAAAGGTGAATACACGACATGGTGCATAATATAAATACCAGTGAAATCTTCGATGGAGAGCAATATTATGTGATATCAATCCTCGTCTATTGCAGTGAAATGCCGGATTCTTATAGACGGTGTAGTGATTTAATGCGACGTAGATGTGCTTATTTAGGAAACTTCATCAACACTAGAAAGAGCGATAATAGCTACTGGGCTTAACAAAAAACTTTCCCTGAAAAATTACTTTAAGAGAAAGATTTCATAAATTTCAAACGTTAGCAGTACAATCTGCTCGGTCACTGTATGCTGAATGTTTCCCTATAAGAATGCCACTAATATTAACATTAATCTCAACCGTTCATCATACAAGATATATATATATATATATATATATATATATATATATATATATATATATATATATATATACCTAGTGAGCCAGACAAACCTACCTAGGTTTCACCTAAACGGATCGTATATATATATATATATATATATATATATTGTTGAAACTTGACTAATGCATGTAATAATAATGCAACACAAAATGTACTTAGAACAAAATGTATTGAAACAAGAAAGTGTACACAATATTTACATATAGTCTTTTGTATATTCCTGGTAAGACCGTTCCTGTAGAATGTGTTGACTGAGTCGCAGTCGGGCAGAGTCTCTGGTTGAATCTCTTGATTCCTCCCTCTCTTCCCGGTACCAACCATATTTATATGGTCGGTACTCGACTATGCAAATTAGGTGGATCCTACCACAACACACGCACACACACACACACACACATATATATATATATATATATATATATATATATATATATATATATATTCATTATTCAGTTTAAAATTTAAACATATCGACTTTTACTTTTTACAATTCCATACTTTTTTTCTTTTCATATTAACAACAGCCATAAAAAATAGTTTCTATAAATCATAAGCATTCTTTCTCTTTCTTGACACATTTCTGTACAGACATTTTACTTTTCATCAAATAATTAAAGGTAATTATTTTTTAAGCCTATTCTTGTTATATTTCTTCACTTTGAGTGATTTCTGTTCTCAATTTTGTCAACTAGAATGTATTTTCTCACTTAATTGTCATTAGGAGCAGGACTTGACCACTTATGCCATGTGCTGTCTTTATTAAATACTTTCTAACCGAGCGTTTTTATTTGTTTTCTCTCATTTCCTTTGTATTTATTTAATGTTACCTGTCTTAAGTCTATATACTTCTGGACATTTTCTTTTTTCATTTTGTTACCTTTTTTCCGACCTTATAGCATATGCCCATATCCAAGGCTTTTATTTTTTAATATTTTGAATCTGGAATCGATATTCTTAGACGCAGGTGTTACTGAGTCTGAATTAAGAAAAATTAAAGTTAAGGAGCGATGACAATAACAGAACAAAAATTAAGAAGGAAGAAGTAATTTTAGATTACAAAAAAAAATATCTATCAGAAATAATTATAACTTATTGGTACAATTCCTATTAATTAAGACATAGGTGGGGGTGGGGAGAAGTTGTTCATTCATACCTTTCCGAGGTGTATTTACGCGTATGTAAATATAAGATGTTAAACTACATACGCGTCTTGGGTAAAATGATTAACTACTTCCGCGTCGTGGGTAAGACGATAAACTACATCGACGTTCTGGGTAAGACAATAAAATGAATCCACGTCCTGACTAAGACAATAAACTACATCCGCGTCCTGGTTAAGACGATAAACTGCATCCACGTCCTGGTTAAAACGATAAACTGCATCCACGTCCTGGGTAAGACAATAAAGTACAACCGCTTTCTGTGTATGACGATAGACTATATCGACCTCCTGGGAAGTCGATAAACTACATCTGCGTCCTGAGTAGGTCGATAAACTACATCCACGTCGTGGCTAAGACGACAAACTACATCCGCGTCCTGGGTAAGACGATAAACTACATCCGCGTCGTGGGTAAGACAATAAACTACATCCCCGTCTTGGGTAAGACGATAAACTACATCCACGTCGTGGGTAAGACGATAAACTACATCCGCGTCCTGGGTAAGAAGATAAACTACATCCCCGTCCTGAGTAAGAAGATAAACTACATCCGCGTCCTGGGTAAGACGATGAACTACATCCCCGTCCTGGGTAAGACGATAAACTACATCCACGTCCTAGGTAAAACGACAAACTACTTTCAGCAGCAAGTCCTCTGATCAGGAGGTTTTGAGGAGCATGGAATCACCTCTTAATTGCTGGTGTTCCCAGTTCCATCCTGACCAGGAGTGGTAGCACCTGTTAGGATCCCAAATATGGGCAAATAGTTACACCCAAACTGGTGTCAAAACACTAAGAAAGTGTGAAAATGTGTTTTAATACCAGAAATAATTTGTAAAAATTATTACCAGCAATTTTTTGAAAAAAAAATATTACGAGCAGTAAAAATTTTGTCAGCATTAAATAACCCATTGAGGTGGATGTGCCGTAAAACAAAGCAAACCAAATCAAACCAAACCAAACCAAACCAAACCAGAGTTCTTTTTCGCAGCATACAATTACTTGGTGAGAGGTAGATAGTAAACCTGTTAGCATCCATCCTCTTTATTTCCCACTTGCTTTTTCTATGAAATGATATTTCGACAAGCGTGTCTATCCAATGAAATAAAAAGAGAAGCTGATCAGACATCCCTTTCATTCTGTGCTTCTGAAGCTGTGCCCGAAGAATCCGTCAACTAGGAATGGATGATACAAAACGCAACACTACATTTGACAATAGTTTGCATATGTTTGACAATCATGTGATATGGTGACTGTTGCCAAGTTATTTCTCATTTTCTTTACATGAATGGGAATTACGATTCACGCACGTATATTTTAAAGTACTTTGTTGTGTATACAGGGTTCTACGAAGATTTGCCGTAAACATTTTTGCCGTGGGAAAACTCGCCTCAGGAATTTTCGCCGTAGGAAATTTACCGTATATGATTTTTGCCGTAAAAAAAAATCGTCACATTTTATTATGCGAAATAACTTGCTATCAAGTATATTTGACTCACAATATTGTTACTTCGATTCAAACCATTTAAATAAGCGAACTTATAAACAGGCACTGACATTTGTGGAAACTAATT